ATTGAGAAATGAGTTGTCGACCGGGTATTGAGCCTATGACCGAACACAGCGCCCCTACGACTCGACAAAAGGTACACAACCTAAATACATCGAGACATGCTCGGAATAAACTCAAAACAAGAGTTGAGGTAAACAAAACAAAAGACACGACACACAGACGTGTTACAAAGACAAGAGACCTCTCAGTTCGCAACGAGCTAGTTTTTCCGGGTATTGTTTCCCACCCTTTCTCATTTGTGATTCTCACATCACTCGGCCCTCAGGCTCTATTTTTCTCAAAAAGCCCTTTTTCTCACTTTTTCTCTCAACGCACATCTCTCTGTTCTTCAATCTCTCGCTCTTTTTATCCCTTCCCTGAGTGGTTGATGGATAAACAAGAGGTTGTGGGTTCATGCCCAACACTGGTAGCTCGCAGCTACTTCTTCCGGCGACGTCTAGTCGATGCTCCGGATGAGGGAGTGGAGTATCTTGATCCGTTCCGACTCGTGCTTCGCACTTGGCTTGATACCTCGTTGCTCGGAGGGTGAGAGAGCTTTAAGCCCTTTACAGACAGCTCCAGTTGTGCCCTTTCTGGCAAGTATGCTGGCGATAGGGGAAAGACAGGAAGCCTAACTTAACTGTGCCCCTTAGTTCATCATTTTGACCATTTTTTGTTTTGGTTTTCTACTAAAACAATTTTGACCAAAATGAGAGTTAGATTAACATACTTGTTCGATTTTTGATTTGAAAATCATGCAAGTCAGGCTATTAACACTGAAAATTTTCCTTTTTGTCTGACTTTAGAGTGATGGTTTGGTCGATCGAGCAGTCTACGCATATATCAGATTGGTGAAAAGCAATTTTTAGTCATTTTTTCATTCCTCTATCTCTCTAAAACATTTCTAAACGTAATTTCTTCACCCTCTCTCTCCCTCTCTAGTTCTTACCTAAAACACCTCAAATACACCTAAATCTGTTGATCTCGTCGCTCTTGTGCTTTAGAGAAAAAGATAAAGCTCATTAAGGAAAACATTTTAATCGGTGAAAACTTTCATTTTGACTTCGTCTCAAGTTAAGGCTTGCTCTCTTCTTCTTCTAAACTTGAGCTAGGGATTTCTTCACCATTCTAGTATGATTCTTAACTTCGTTATGTGCTCCTCATCCAGGATTGGGATTTGGGAGATGGAGGTTTTTATTTAGGGTTTGATTTTTAAAATGCAAAAAAAAAGAATTTTCAAATGGATTCTTGAGAAATGTTGTGGGACTGTGAATATTGTTGAGTTGTATTGAAATGTTAGAAATTCCTTCCTTAAATGTGCTTTTGAAAGTAAAAGATGTTTTATTGGAAAATCATTGATATTTGATTTATGAAAGAAAATTAAAAGATGTTGGGTTTAAAAAGATAAGATGAATGTATCTGTTGATGATGAGTGGGGATGGATATATATATTATCACTTCCATTTTGAAATTTATGAGATTATAGCTATTGTTGAAAATTTATCTATTGAGTAGAGATATCTGTATTGGGCTATTGATGGAGGATAACTTTGATAGTTGTAGAAATTACATGAGGATTAGGTTCATTGAAACTAATTACTCATAAATTTTGTGTTGAGCATTGTTTCATACTTAAACATTGAAAATATATTGTTTTGAGAAAATTAGGTGTATATCTTAGTGAATCTAGTTAGGGAGTGTAGTTGTGGTTTATGTTGTTGGCCTGTGTCTCCTTAGTAAAAGTCTAAAAACTTACGCAGTGAGGTGCTGATCCTTCCGGTTAGTACTGGTAAAATGACTTTGGTAGTGTTTGTGTAGCCTACTGGTAGACATGTACTTAGAGATTCCTAGTGTTTTGTATCCACTGTCTTATTTTCTGATTTAAAAAAGTATTGTTTTATGAATTGATATACACATAACTGAGACATTGCATTGTTTTGAAAGAAAAAGTATGCTATTTGGCAAAGGACATGCATATACATTCATCATATGACTTTGTTAATCTTCATATGTTGTGTTAAAGTACTTTTACTGAATTTTAGCTCACTCTACGTGAAAAACAAATTTCAGGTGCTGATGATATGCCTTCACTAAGGATGTACCTTAGAAGGACTTGGAGTCGAGAGCTTCTTTTTGTTTTTTCTGTGTAATTATTTTTATACAAGCCTTAGACTTTCAATGTATAGAGTTTAACTCACTTTTGTTATACCCAAACATTGACTTAGAAAGATGTAGTCATTAAAATATAAGGACATTTACCAATAAATCCTATCTCACAAACAGATACTCCAATTAGTCTCAAGTTTTTTCTATTGATCTATTAAGTCCTATTAGTGGAGAGTTTCTTTCCGTGTGGTCCTATTTTTGATTTTGGTAGTATTTTGGTGGATAGTTATACCTTTTTATTAATGTGACAGGTATGATGTGATACTCTAATGTGGTAGGTATTAATATAACACTCTAATGATGTGACACTCTAAAAAAATTAAAAACTCCTTAGTATACTTTTTCTAAATGTGACAACGTGATGGGTATGATATAACACTCCAAAACTTTTACTCAGAAAAAAAAAATTCCTCCTTAGTGTACTTTTTCAAATGTGACAATATGACAGATATGATGTGACACTTCAATAAAAAAACTCCTTAGTGTAATTTTCTCAAGCGTGACAACGTAACAGATATGATACGATACTTCAAAAAAAATAAAAACTCCTTAATGTACTTTTCTCAAATGTGACAACGTGGTAAGTATGATGTAACACTTAAAAAAATAAAAACTTCTTAGTATATTTTTTTCTCAAACATGACAATGTAGCGGCTCTAATGTGACGCTCTAAAAAAAATTAAAAACTTCTTAGCATATTTTTTCCAAATGTGACATGTGACACTCCAACGTGACGAGTTTGATGTGACATCTAAAAAAATTAAAAAAATTTTAATGTACTTTTTTCAAATGTGACACTCTAACGTGTCGGATATGATATAACACTAAACAACTCTTTAATGTACTTTTTCTAAATATAACACTTTAATGTAGCAAACAAATGAATCATTACACATCCAAAAGGACTAAATGGATTACAAGAAAAAATATGAAAATATATAGATTACAAGTCTAAAATATGAGATTTATTGGTCAATCTCCCTAAAGTATAAACTTATTTATACTTCCTTTTATTCCAATTTATTTATACATGTCATTTATTATAAATTCAGAATTTAAAATTTATAAATATATATATATGTCATATTTTATACAATAACAGAATATTGATAAAAGATTAATTATTTATAATTTGCTACTTTTTCATTAAAAATCATGAGGTGATTTGTTATTATTATCGAGGTGATTTGTTATTATTATTTTGGCACGTAATATCTCGCATGCTCAATATTCATGTCAGGTAGGCTGCCAAAGCCTTAAAACAATGATCTGGTGGAATTTGAGAAAACCCACAGGAGTCTAGAGTTTTATTTAATATTTTTGTATAAAAATAAAATAAAAAAAGGGCAAAAAAGAAATCCTCTATTTTTTAGTAGTTTACATGAGTAAACCATCCATCCATGTCTATCTTGTTCCTCTAGTTAGGAGTAGCAAGTAAATACTATGTTATAACAGAAATGTAAAGAATTCAACCACATTGTAACTTCAAAAATCATGAATTGAACCTAATATATATGCATATTTACATCTATATATTTGTTGTAAAAAGTAACAAGTTAAGAACATGTGTCAGAGCTTGCATAGCAGCACTAATTTGTACATGGCCAGGAGCAAATCCTATATTCACAAGTTTTAAAAAAAAAAAAAAAAAACACCATAGTGAGAATAGAACATTGGTGGCAACAAAAGAGATAGAAACACCTCCTTTGATAATTCACTAGTGTGACTTCTTTGCCAAAGAAAAACAAAGGTCAATCTAGAGGATCCATTCTACACCTCCCACTCTCCTCTCTGCTTGTAGAAAAAGAAGCCCTGTAAATGCAACACTGTCATACCAAACACAGTGAGATATGTAAACATCTATACTATATATATTGTAAAAGAAACAGCCAAAAAGTAAAGTTGAGTAATTTTATTTTATTTTTCCTTTTCCAAGATTGTCCATGAAGTGATTTTTTTTAGCATTTAAATGAATTCTGCCATATTTTTGGTAATGGTGTGAAATTGCTCACAATTTTCAAATTCAAAGGTGATTTCTAAAAATTCCATCTCTTTTTAGAGAGTAACACACATTATTTTGCACACCTATTTGCGTGTGTCAAGAGGCTAGTGACTTATAATTTAAGAATAAATTAATTTTTTCAGCCCTTTAATTTGACTGAAATTTTGCTTTTGATTTTTAGTATTTTAATTTAAAATTTGATTCTTGTACTTAAAATTCCAGTTTCAATTTTGTTATTCCATCTAAATTCCTGTTAATTTTGTGCATGTATACGTCTCAAGAGGCTGACGAATGTCAAAAAATCGTTAATTTTAATATATAATTTGAACGAAACGACCAGATTACAATTAGACTTAAAAGTATAGTGATTAAATTATTCAATTTGAAACAATAGTTGGTCAAACTGTAAGAGTTAAAAGTGTCAAATATACTTTGTATGACAAAAATGACAAGAAAACAACTTGAAATAGAAGAATGGAAAAGAAGATCATACCATTGACATTACTACTTTGATTCAAGACAGCTCACTTGCTCCCCCAAGTCCTTCACATAAGAAGCCCAATCTGGTGGCTTGGCTATCAAATTCTCCAATTGAAGAACAATCTTGGATTGGTGTTGAACCAACTCTGCTTCAACTTGAGCTGATCCATTCTCACAAATCAATCCGTCCTCCAATAGTTTCTCCCACAAGATATAATTATCAGAGCTCAAATCCGGACTCAGCGGTCCAGGAGCCGCATTAATCTTTTGGTCCTGACTCGGACTACTTTTTTCGTCCAACGAAGCGGAGAATAGTCTTTCCACTTCCGAATGTTTTTTCGGCCCCATAAGATGGATGAATTGATGGAAAAAGGCCGGGTTCGAGAATGCTTTGGCCATGAATATCAGTATATCTTGTTGCTTACACTCGGTGTATCCTATTCGCTCCTTAACCACGGCCAAGTAACTCTCTGTGTTCTCTTGTTGTTGTTTCAGTTTCATGATTTCCATTTTCATTTTCATCCTATCATTCCTTAGTTTTTCAAGCTCAGTCTCGATTCCGAAATTGGCTGAATTGAGACAGGGTCTCATGACTCCTTGTTGCTGCACATTTTGGTGGTTATGTTTTCTCCTCTTTATGTTTTTGAACAAATGTTTTTTCCCACCTTGAAACGCTTCATTGGCAAATTCCCATCTGTCTGAATCAATCTTCTTAAAACCCTTTATACCAAAAAAAATTTAAAATTTAAAAACACACATAATTAGCAATTAGCAGGAAATCACACAAACAATAAATTGCACATATAAGTGAATTGGTACTTTCGTCCCGTAATTTTGTAATTTCAATCTCAATCTGCACTTTCAATTTTAATATTTTATTAAAATATGATCCTCTGTCAATTACCGTTATAATTCCCTCCGTCACTTTTACCATTAAAATAATAAAAGATCATGTGTTAAAATTAGAACCACCCAACTGGAATTTAAAATAAACTATCTAGTTTTACACACAAAAAATTTCAACAATGCTGGGGACCCCAACACCCCCACCTCCACGTGGGGGGCTGTGAGAGTAAGACTGAAAAAATAAATAAATAAATAAATTTTGAGCCAATCAAAAACAGTGAGGGTGGTGGGGTCACCCCACTAGTGGTAAGGCATTTTTGTTTTTGTTTTTTTTTCTTTTCAAAATGTTACAAACACTGGGACTACGTTGCAATAGTGTGAGGAAAACAAATTTCTTTGAGGAACCATGGTGTAATATACCCTTGAATAAATACACAAATTCAACAAATAAAATTTGAAAAATAAAAAAGAAAAGGTCCAATTAGCCATGAACTAAACAGAGACCTTTAGAAATAGCTACAGCAACAAAACCCACAAAGAATAAACCGTAAATTTAGAAGATAAACACTCAAATTTCATAAATAGATCATAATAGCACAGAAGAGAAGAGTTTTTTTTTTTTTTTTGAACGAGAAGAGATTGGATTGGAAGAATTTAGCCTCCGTTTGTTTCCAGAGATGGAATGGAAGGGATTGATAGTGAGGGGATTAATAATGAGGGGATTGTTAGTGAGGGGATTGATAGTGAGGGGATTAGTAGTGAGGGGATTGATAGTGAGGGGATTAGTAGTGAGAAATTGTTAAATTATTTTTATATAAAATAATAAAACAAATAAAAAAATATAAAAAATTAAAAAATATATTTTAAAAAAAATTTCCAATATATAAAAAATAAAAAAAATAAAAAAATTTCTAATCCCCTCACTATTTTTCTAATACCATCTCTATCTCCTCACTATGAATCCCCTCCCCAAGGGTATTAGTAATACCAAGGTATTAGTAATACCCTCCCTATCTCTCAAAACAAACAAGGTATTAGTAATACCAAGGTATTAGTTAGTCCCAAGGTATTAATAGTCCAAAGGCTATCTCTCAAAACAAACACCCCATATACTAATCCCAAGGTACTAGTAATCCTAATCCCCTTACTATAACCCAAAACAAACGAGGCCTTAGAGGAGTACTTACATAAGTGTAAAGTTGACGAATAAAGCTTGAGAAATTGTTGTGCTTGAAGTATTTGGGCAAGAGATTGGTAGAGAACTGGCGATGATCCCAGACCACAAAGCATTTTCGAGAGGCAGTCCATGAAATGATGATGTCAGTATCTGGGTCTTCCACCATGTGAAAGGTCTTCTTCAGAAATGGAGATGGTCCTGTTTCATGCAATCCCTCCATGGGTTTTGGGGCTGATGAGATTGGTGGTGAACATGGCATGGAATCACCACCTCCTCCTCCTACTAGTACTACTCCTTCACCACTTACACAATCATCATCAACCAATACCATTACTTCTTCTTTGACTTCCACAACTTACTCCGTCTCCTCCTCCTCCTCCTCATCCTCAATTAAACCTCCACCACCACCACCAGGTGTGTCATCATCAATCACTACAATGTTCTCCTGCTTGATTTTTAGCGTTTCCATGAGAGACACAGAGAGTTTTGGATTAGTGTCCAAATGAGTTGATTGTTTCTAATGCAGTGACTCTGAGAATCGAAAAGGGGAGTTTTTATAGATGGAGAGAGAGAGAGTGTGTTGTCTGAATGGCCAAATGTAAAAATGTGGAGTAATGATAGGAATCATGAAAAAAATGATCATAAATGTGATCAAGAAAGATTTTTTACTTTTGGATTACATAGCAATGTTAAGTATTATGAAAAGTTTTTCATGAAAATGATATTAAAAGATTTGTGACATTTGGATTACACTTAGAATAAAACACTACACACTAATCAAGGTAATCTAAGGGTCACAAATCTTTCCTGATCATTTTCATGAAAAAAAATTTATGATCCCTAACATTTCTCTACAATAAAACATTACACACAAATCAAAAAATAAAAAATCTTCAAAATACATTTCATGATTTTTTTTTTTCATAATCCCAAACCATACTAAAAAATGTGTTGCCATTTGTAGCTCCAACTTACATACAAATCCAGGCCCCTTTACTTCTGGAAACTGCTCTTTGACCCCACACCCTTACTTTTTTTAAAACCCCCAAAACAAAAATATTTGCTAGAAACCCCACCCCCACCCCCCTCGGGGGCCCTTTGGTGCAGAAATTATTCCGTAAGTCCGGTAAACCACTTCTTCAACCAATGAAATTTTAAAAAATAGTAGTTCTTTTTTGAATTAATCACACATCTCTATTGTGACATTTTTTCTTCTATATATCATTCCAATTAATCCGCCACGTTGCCGATGTAATGGCCCTGTTTTGTGTAAATTATTCATGATTAAAAAGTAAAAATTAGAAGTACTTCTCTAATTTCTAAATAATTAACTTATTTAAATTATTTTTACCTAATAAACTATAAGCAAGCATTCTAAATAAATAAATAAATAAAAACTAGAATCATAACCTGTATCAAATAATCTGACACAAATTCTAAAATCAAAATAAGTTATAATTATCTCATTTATTTTATCTGTATCAAAATATTAGCTTCTTTTGAGAAATTCAATTGTTTTAGGTAATGCAATTATTACACTTGAAAAATATATTAACTTTCTAAAACTACCTTTTGACTTTTTTTAGAAAAATCGATTTTCATAATTATACTTTTTATGTATAAATTTAAAAAAATGACAAAATAAAAAATTTATATTATTTTATCCCTTAATTTTTAAAAGAGACTGATATTTGAGATAATAAAAAAAAGTTAAATAAAAGATTAATATTTTAAAACGGAACAAGTAATAAATTGTAACTGACACCCCAATATGCCAAATCCATTGAATAATTTTCTCTTTTTGTGAGATTGAGTTTCTTTTTCTGGGTCCACATCGTTTATTCTACCTCCCACATGCTATTAGAGAAAAGAAAAATGCTTGGAGCACTAATTAGTGCTCCCACTAATTAGGTGGCAGTTGGTCTCGTTATTAATGATGTGATATTTTGGTTTTAGAGTTGTATTTTTTTTTTTTTTACTTTTTTAATGTATTAGTGCTATTAGTGGTGATGTTTTTAGTGGGATGAATCATTGTTGTAGAGAAAATTTGGAGTCTTGAAACACATCCTTCAACCACGTCCTAGTGCCACGAAAGCAACACACTTTGTCTTTTTTCGAATACACTAGTAACGTATGTATATATATATATAAGAAAATAATTAGGAGTTTTAATAAAAGAGTTTTAATGGGGAGTCGAATATATTGTGATGTAATATTTTGGCCTTAGTTTTATTTTTTTAATTTTTTTTTATTCATTGTCACATCATTAAAGTTTATTTAAAATTTCAAAATTAGAGGGATATATTATTATTCATATATATATATATATATAGTAGTTTAAAAAGACCTCGGCAAGGTATAGGTAATTATTATAATATGTTTAAATTTTATATTTTGATAATTTTTAAATAATTAGAATATTATTTTATAAAAATATATAGGATAAATCATTAAATATATGATAAAATTATGTAGTATATCATTTTTTGATTTGTTATATATTTAACGACATAAACTTTAATTCTGTTACCATATCATTTTAGGTGAATTTATGAGTTTTTAATATTTCTTTCGAATTTATAAAAAAGAAATTATGGTGCGTACCTTTTCTCAACAGATAAATATAAAATAAATATTAAGATAATTCTCTCATCTAAAACAAATTATTACAATAATTCACTGAACTAATAAAGAAATAAAATAAAATACATACAAATGACTAATTTTATTAATACATAAATCATACTCGCATAACAAATGATTAATTTTATTAATAAGTAAAGCATTAAATAATTAACAATTTATAATGATATGAAAAATATTTTTCAGTTAACCATTTTGTTATATAAATAAATCATTAAGTCAATTAATAGTTTTTAATGATATGAGAAATATTTTTTAATAAATAATTTTGATAATTTATTATTGCATGGGAGAATAGTTTTTTTTTCCCTGAGTATTGTGTTAAATTAAAATTTATAACAAAAGATAGTAGTAATTTCTAATATTATAGAACCGATTCATATTTTAAACAAACCTTATGGGCGTATTTATAATTTGTTAAAAAAATTATCTTTCATAATTGACCAAGAATATTTGTGTAATTACGAAAAAATATGTTTCATAATTGACCAAAAATGTTTGGGTAATTACGGAAAAACCTGTTGCATAATTGATCAAGAATGTTTGTGTAATTATGGAAGGGAAAAAAAAAATCACTCAACATATAAACCACTATTAGTAAATTATTCAAAATAAAATGACGAAATCGAAAAGAAAAGACAAACCTCAAGCATCTAGTTTGAAAATGCCTGTGCAAGACACGAGCTATTATTACAGTATATTTAAATTTTATATTTTGATAAAAAAAAAATTTTAATTGGAATATTATTTTATGAAATTGAATAGAATAAATCATTAGATATATGATAGAATTATGTGATATGATATGTATTGTTTTTTGATTATTATACACCTAATGACGTATTCCTTTGGATTTTGTAAAACAAAAAATTACGATGCGTAGTTTTTCTCAACAGATAAATATAAAATAAATACTAAGATAATTCTCTCATCTAAAAAAAACTACTATGATAATTCATTGAAATAACAAAGAATCAGAAGAATATATATATATATATATATATACACAAATGACTAATTTTATTAATACATAAATTATACTAACATAAAAATGACCAATTTTATTAATAAGTAAATTAACTATTTTTAATGATATGAAAAGTATTTTCCAGTTAACCATTTTGTTAATAAATAAATAATTAACTCAAAACGGTTTTTTTTTATATGAGAAATATTTTTCAATAAATAATTTTGATAATTTATTATTGCATAGGAGAATAGTTTTTTTTTTCTCTTGAGTATTGTGTAAATTTAAAATTTATAACAAACGATAGTTGTAATTTCTAGTATTATAGGAACGATTCACATTTTAAACGAATCTTATGGGTGTATTTATAATTTGTTAAAAATTAACTTATTTATGTTTCATAAGTGACTATGAATGTTTGCGTAATTACGAAAAAGCTTGTTGCATAATTGACCAAAAATATTTGCATAATTACGAAAAAAAAATTCACTCAACATATAAGTCATTATTAGTAAATTATTTAAAATGAAACCGTAAAATCGGAAAGAACATACGAACCTCAAGCAGCCTTTGTAACAAACGGTAGTTGAAAATTCTAGTATTATAGGACCGATTCATATTTTAAACAAACCTTATGAGTGTATTTGTAATTTGTTAAAAAATTAAAAAAAATTATGTTTCATAATTAAACAAGAATGTTTGCGTAAGAATGTTTATGTTTCATAATAAACGATTTATGTTTCATAATTACAAAAAAAAACATATTTTATAATTGACCAAGAATATTTGCGTAATTATGGAAAAACTTATATCATAATTGACCAATAATGTTTGCATAATTACGAAAAAAATCTTCACTTAACATATAAGACACCACTAATAAATTATTCAAAATGAAATGATAAAATCAAAAAAAAAAAAGACGAATCTCAAACAGTTTAGCGGTATATATATATATATATATGTAATAAATTTTGGGATTATGAAACAAGAAGTCGTAGGAGTAGGAAGATGTTTAAGTTTTTTATTTTGATAATTTTTTAAAAATTTAAATATTATTATATAAAATTGAATAGAATAAATCATTAGATATATGATAGAATTATGTCGTACGGTATGTATCATTTTTTGATTTGTTATACACCAATAATGTAGACTCCAATTCTATTACCATATCATTTTTGGTGAATTTATGAATATTTAACATTTCTTCGGAATATATTTTAAAAAAATTATGGTATGTAGCTTTTCTCAATAGATAAATATAAAACAAATATGAAGATAATTCTCTCATCTAAAAAAAATTACTAAGATAATTCACTGAATTGATAAAGAAACAGAGTAAAATACACACACACACACACATATATATATATATATATATACACAAATGACTAATTTTATTAATATATAAATCATACGCGCATAGCAAATAATCAATTTTATTATTAAGTAAATCATTAAGTCGCCGTTTGGCATTGGCTTTTTTAGTTGACTTTTTTGAGTTGGAACTTTTTTAGCTTGAGATTAAAAAGTTTGTTTGGTTTGACTTTTTTGACTTTTGTGAGAGAAAAAATAAAATAATTATTATTTTGATGTGATATTTTGTTTTATTGGCTTATTTAGCATATTTTGTCTTTTGTGTTTTTTTAAC